ACCCGTTAAGAGTTGCTGATTTACAAAATTACGTTTATGAAAAGATAACTGATAAAAATTATGAAAAGATTATGAATCATGTTTATAAATATGATCGCAAATTCCAACAAATCGGACTTCCTTCCAAATTAATTACAAGCTTAGCCGCTACATCTGCTGACGCAACAGTTGATGACGTTATTATTTCATGCACAAAGATGGAAGTTTTAGAGGATAAATGTATTACACCAGGATACGGTTTAATTGAAGAATCAGTTAAAGCAATACCACGTTTATTCAGTAAGGAAGATCCATTCATGATTCCAGCTCAACATATTGACGTTCGTTCACTAAATGGAGGATGCATCACTCCTGAAGGAATTAGCTCAGATTTCTCATACGCTCTTCATAATGTTACAGATGTTGTGTTAACATTTCCGAAGAATGCAATGCAAAGAACAGTTTTAGAAAATCCAATGCTTCGAGGTCTTCAGGTCACTATAGATTCCAGAAACTTCCCCGATCAAGCGATGACCACAGTGGGTGACATATTCTTTACACGTATGCTTCAAGCTTCTGATTTAGATGGAGTAAATGAATGCACGGAAGAATACGAGGACTCATTAACTAGACCACTGAATGATGATGATGGCACGCCATTAGCTAGAACATGGAAAGACCAAACTTCATTCTTATGCACTATTCCAGTTCAACGTGATGGAGCGGGTATATTCTTTGATGGATTAGAAACTTTCAACTCACAAGTTACAGTACAAGTGAAAGTTTATCCAATCATTCAGGGTGTAAATGACACTTACTGTTCAAAGGTGACAAATCCTCCTCAGGTTTGGTTTACTAGGACTACATATTGGACATGGACACCGGATGAAGGTTTGAAATATCATCCAACAGGTACACCACCCCAGTATAGAAGTTCATATGATGAAATATTGATGAATAGAAATGTTTAAAATTATAAATTTATTTTTGATTAAATGGATTTAAATTCATCCACCCCTTATGAAGAATTAGCGGGAGTATATAATACATACGTAGATGATATGATTAATGAAGCATTGAGTGATAATAGAAATGCTCTATCTAAGGAAAAATTAATGAAAATTCCATATTCTGAATGTTACTTAAATTCAATCACTGCAGCAATTGGTAAACAGAATAAAGGTAAAACATTAACGATATTAAAACAAATTATCATTATTGCTAACACTTCCCCTATTCACACGTGTTAATTTATATCAACCGTTCAGGTTCACCTTCAGATGATACATTTGAATCTTTAAAGCATTTAATCAAAATTCCAATTATTTATTTATCACAAGAAGAAGCAGAAGATTATTTAAAAAACTTTTTAATGTATAAAGAATTATTGATAAACAACGGGATGAATTATTTGAAACACTTTCTATTTCAAATTTTGATAGAGAATTTTTGCATTCACTCATTTTTCTAGATGATGCAGTGAAATCAAAACTAATAACAAATGAGAAATCATATTTTAATCAGTTATTAACTCAATGTCGACACATTCAGTGTTCATTCTTTATGGCTGTTCAATATTTCAAAGCATTAAGCACAAACATTAAATCAAATCTATCAACACTTTTCATTTTCAGTGGGTTTAGTCGTCAACAGTTGAACGTTATGCTTTATCAAGTGAATTTACCAATGAGCATTAATGAACTTTACACACAATATCAGCAATTAGGTGAACATGGAAAAATAATAGTTGATTTAAATAAAGGAAGTGTTAAATTTGATTAACTTTTTATAATTAATTTTTATTTTTTATTTATAATTAAACATGACAGAAATGGTAAATCTTCTACAGGTTCCATTAAAACAAGGGACAAACAAAAGGGGTGTATATAATAGAACTATGCAAGTTCCCGATGGAATGAAAGAATTAGTTCATATTGTTGCTGGTCTTCAAAAAGATGTTAAACAAATGAGAAACGTTTTAACATTACCAGAAGCTCAAGCATATGCCAAACGTCAAGGTCCAAATTGGGAAGCACACGAAACAGACATTACGGGTCCAAATGGAAAACCTGATGGTATAAATGAAGTTTTCGTTACTGATGGTCAAGGTAATATTAAAGTCATAAATGGTTACAAGTTAAGTATAACTGATTATCCTAAACGTAAAGCATATAATGAACGTTATCCTATGCAATTTGATGAAAATGGAAAAGCTGTTAAACAATACATTGGAGAAGGTGAAAATGGTCCAATTAATTCATACCGTCATAATCCATATTCTTATTTCAATGAAGAATTAAATGCTATTGAAGAGGGACCGGATGGATTACCACGATATTCTAACCAGTTTGATGGTCAATATGCAAATATTAGACCTGAAATTTCAGCTAAGAAATTCTTTAAAGTTGCTTTATTCGATCCAGTTTCGCAAATGTTAAAGATGAACTTAAACAGCAATTCCAACCAATTATAGTAGCAAGAATTGCATCAGGTGCTTTATCTCAAGCATTCAAAGATTTAATTAAGAAACCATTATATCAGCAACGAGGTTTAACTTATGATTTAGTTAAGGAATCAGATAAAAGAAAATTTGAGAAATCAGATGATTATAAGAATGCAATTAATGAATATATTCGGTCTATTAATTTCGATGAAAATGCTAAAAATCAACTTCATGAACAAATACAGGGAATAATAGATTCAAAAGTTCCAGCAAAATAAAAGTTTAAATATATTTTTTTTATTCGATTATAAATGAGAAGACGTTTCACTATCAAAAGAACACTAACGCAAAAGCAGAGATTACGGTTGGTTATAACGTAAATGATGATAAATCACGAATTATTCAAAATGTTAAAGTTAATGTTAGCCCTGAATTAACAAGGTCAGCAACTCAACCAAATTTATTAACTCGTGACTTACCGAAGAATGAGGAGAATGAAGAAAACCATGAGAATGGAGACCCAATCATTTTATCTGAACCTGGTAAAGAACCCGTTGAAATTCCCACTTATCCAACATACCCCCCACCTCTTTCATCAAACATCGAGAACCCATATAAAATAGACATTAATTCAGAATTAATGAAAATTTACCGTGATATAATAATTAATAATTATGATTCAATAATAAATTTAATTGATCAATCTGGTTTAATTATTTTACCTTATGAATCATTAATTCACATTATCGCCATTCTTTGTGATGTTCAAGATTCAGACGTTAAGATTCAATTTTTCATAGATGATGAGGTTTCATGCTGTGGAACAGTTGCAAAAATAAATCCTATAAAGGATATTAGCACAATTAAGATATCAAAGAACGGAACAACAACTGAACTTCATTTAACATATAATGATATTTATAATAAAATAGTTGATGAATATAAAATATCACTTGAAAAATTCTTTGTTAAGGCTATTTAATATTCAAGCATTAACATTATTGAATAATAATCCTTTGAATCATAATCAATAATAATTGACCTTTCACCAGTTTCTATTGTTTGTTTTATTTCTTTTTGTTCCCCACTATCTGGATCGGTCATTGTAATTGTTTTTGTTATAGTATCAGCTTTATCTTTAACTTCAATCTTTTTTCCATCGGGATATTTAAACCAAAATTCCAAAAATTCGATATTGTCAATCTGTTCATATTTTAATCTATCAATTACATTTTTAATACCATCTGAAAATCTTATGAAATGGTCATTATATGGGTTTGATTGAACTAAATTTGAATGAAGTGAAATATAACCTGTTGATGAATATGACATTGACTCATATTTTCTGAAAACACTAAAATTTATAACATGAATGAATTTCTTATTCGTTGAATTTATGAATTCTTGAGGTAATCTTATTCTAGTTTTATTTATCACTGGAAAATAACGCTTTACCATATTTTTAATCGTAATAAAAATGTCAATTATCAATATTATTTCGAATAATAGCTGTGAATTAAATTTAACAGTTAGCGGAATTTATAATGTTACTCTCGTTTCTGTGAGTGGTAAATTTAATCCCATTCTTTTAGACCCTTCAGATTATATATCATTTATTAAAGATGACCTTGAAAAAAAGTATGATATGTATATAAATAATGTGATAGCGAAATGGGATATTAACATGATTTTAAGTTATTTAAATGAATCATTTATCGTATGGTATGAAGAAAATTTTAAATCAAAACCTGATAAACTTTTTGAACTTGATGAAATAAATAACCTTATTAAATTCCCGCTGAAAATTAAATTTTGTACTCCTCATCTTCGTTCATTGTTGGGGATATTAAATTTTGAAAAAGATGTTGGGGATGTTTTGTATTCTGACACTGGTTCCAATTTCATTTTAATCAAATGTGATAAAGTTAATACCCCAATGAGATTTTCACATCAAACATTAGACCCTAACTCTTACCCATCAATACAAAACATTTTATCCATCAACTTAAACACATTTTCTTTATCATATCCGTTTCAATTATCCGGGAATTCATTTATTCTTCATTCAAAAGATTTATCAAATATTAAATTTAGAATAACTGACCTATTTGATTGTGATTTAGAATTCATGAATGAAATATTATGGCAATTTCAAATAGAAGAAATAGCTGATGAGATAACAGATTGAATATTTATTTTTAAATCATAATAAATGATTAAACAACAGCAACCACAACAACTTAAGGCACAAAACACCCAGGTCCCTCAGATCATTACATACGCCATATATGCATATAATTCAAAGACGGCAGAACAAACGCAAAGGTTGAAATATGGAGATTTGGAGATAGTATTGAAAAATGACCATTTCGAATTCGTTTGCAAAGGTGGTGCAGTGATATCAAATATAAAAGAAATTTTATTTATGAATTCTAAAATTAAAGGAATAACGGATGATATAACATCAATTCCACCAGAAGAACAGAGATATTACGCATTAAATGCATTTCCTAAAGTTTTGAAGATTGGAAGATTTAATTTAAATGAGGAATTCATAGAAGGTTTCCTAAATGACATAATGAAGAGGGTGGATAAGGAATATGTGGATAGTGAGTTAAATAAGAAGGCAAATTTGGTTTATGTTGATGAAAAAGATAATGAAATTAAAGAAAAGGTTGAATGGTATCATGAATGGACATTTGAGACTTTTAAAGTTAAAGCCGATACAGAATGGGTTTCAGGATGTTTAGACCTTAAAGCAGATAAAACATATGTTGATGAAAATTATGCAAAGAAGTCGGAAGTAAATGATGTGATTACAAGCATGAAAAATGAAATACTTCAAACATTATATCCTGTTGGTTCTATTTATACGTCAATGAACTCAACAAATCCATCAACAGTTTTAGGTTTTGGTATGTGGAAGCAGATTGTAGATAAATTCTTATACTGTGCTAGATATTCAAAGCAAACAGGAGGTTCGAAGAAAATTAAAGAAGCAAACCTTCCACCGCACACTCATACAGGAACTACAAACACAACAGGTAATCATTCACATTCAATAACAAAAAGATGTTATATAAATCTTGCAGCGGGTTCGGATAGATGGGGAATGAATAGATATGATATCACAACTGACCCAGTAGATTCAAGCACAGGTATTTTCTGTGGAACCTCAGGAAATCATTCACACACTTTCACAACAAATCCAACAGGCTCGGGTAAAGATTACATGCCACCATTTGTGACTGTATTCGCATGGTACCGCGTTCATTGAACATACTTGAGACTTGACCCAAAGGGTTTAAGCTTACCGAATGAACTAAATATATTTTATGTCTGTAATTAATTAGGTAATGAAGTAATGGATGAACTGCAGAAATAATGTTTACGTTAAGTGACTCAAAGAGTCCGGAGACAAAGTCTCATGTTTACGTTAATGGTTTTTAGGTTATTCAATAATTAATTATTTTTGAAGAACTGAAGGTGTCACCACGTCACCATGTGTCACCAGGTTAATTAACTTCATTAAAAAAGTGTGACAACATGACATTTAGACAACAACACAGGAGGAAGGCATTTATGAATTATTTTTGAAGAACTGAAGGTGCTACCATGTTACCATGTGCTACCAGGTCAATTAACTTCTCTGAAAAAATGAGACAACATGACATTTTGACAACAACACAGGAGGATTAATGCAAAAATAAATTCAAATCATACTTTATAAAGCATCATTTACAGGTATTTCATCGTCAGTAAATGAATCCTCATTATCGTTTGGTTCAACCTGTTTATATAATCCTTTCATTTCTTCTTTCAAAACATAACACCATGTTTGTTTACCATCTATTCTTCTATGTTGTTGACATATCTGTCTTTATATTCCGGATAAAAAAAATATTTTATAAAAAACTAACTTTATTTTCTGACTTTCACAAAAGACCAAAAATAAACGCTTTACATGTATTTTTCAGCAACTTCGTCAAATAATTTTATAGCTTTATCTATCTCATCTACTTCAAACGTTTCTTTACCTTTCATGGGAGCACCATACATTTTCTCAAACTTTTCAAGTAGTTCTGTTTCTGCAGCTCTCATATCATTAACGAACACAACCTTGACTCTATTGACTGTACTGTCATATCTTTGAGTTATATTATATGTTCTTCCTATCTTATATCTCTTTGTATTGAAGTCCTTCGGTTTCTGAACGATGTAAAGTAAGCCTTCACTGCAACGTTCCGTATTGAATGAACCATAAGTTATGAAGTTATATCCAACAACTGGGTCTAACCATAACAAAACTATTGGTATATAGACTTTTGTCAATGAGATATGCTGTAGTTCCATAGAATCTTACCGATATCATAAGCTCAGGATTTCTTGTCAAAATTTTCTGAGTTGAAGCATTTCTAACCCAGTCCTTTGTTTTCTTTCCAGATGGAGATATAATGTCTGACAAAGAATATTTGTTGTATTTCTTTGAGTATCTTACGTTTAAATCACCTATTCTAACCACTTTGGTGTCATTGTCAATCTTTCTAACTGTTTCAAACTCAATGTTTGACATTACTGTTCTTACATACAAGATAAAAAAAATATTTTATAAAAACTAACTTTATTTTTCTAACTAATGAAATTCATTATTTTTGTTGCTGAATTCAATAAAAATATATTTTAGGTGAAGAGGTGAGATTTCACCAGTTTTCTCACCTAATTTTTCACCCCAGTTATTTTATAAGTGTTTTACATGGTAAACGTTATTTTTTAAATTTTGTGAAAACTCAACGGTTTGACACATGCCCTAAAAATTATTTTACTCAGAATTTTGTTGCTGAATTCAATAAAAATATATTTTAGGTGAAGAGGTGAGATTTCACCAGTTTTCTCACCTAATTTTTCACCCCAGTTATTTTATAAGCGTTTTACATGAATTGTACGATGTATATTTGAAATTCTAAACAATTTCGTAGCTTCTATTTCTTCTGTCAGTATGTCAAAAGTTTTAACAATGCCGAAAGTTTCATTATACTTCTTCTTGACGTCAGATAGAAGGAAATCGTCAGCTGTTGGATAGTTTTTGTTCAGAAATGCTAACATGTCCATTTTATCTTCTGCTGGTTTCTCTACTTCTTTCTTTAAGTCAGCATAGTCGTTTCGCATACGTTCTATCTCTTTGACGGAGTAGTTATATTTCCTTATTGCTGCTTTACATTTTGAACATTGCGGATTCATTTTTGCGTTATACATTGAAATTTGACCTGCTAGAACAACTAAGGCGTCAATGGTTTTCTTTAACTCAAAAGTTGTTGGTTTTATTTGTCCATTCCATATTTTACATCTTTTATCTTTATCTCTTATCTGCCATACACATTCAGCAACTAATGAAACAAAGTTGTCGTATGTCTTAAACTCCCCAGATTTATATATGTCAGAGATGTTCTTATATACCATGTCGCAATCTTTGTCCATAACTTTATGGTTGCAATGATATCCTAGAAACTCATAGTTTACTTTACGTATGAACTTCTTTATTTCTACTGAATCAGTTGGTTTCACTTCTATTTCATCGAATTCATGAATAGTTAGTTTTTGCTGCTGAATTTCAGGCAATTTGGGTAAATGGTCAATAATGTCCTGCATGTCATAAAGATACTGTTCATTTGTTTCATCTTTCGCACTACAGTCTAAATTACTTGTTAAAAGTTCTTGCTTAATTCTTTGTATTTCTGTCTCAAAAGTATATGAAGAAGGAATAAAGCTTTTCATCTCTACCAACATTGACGTAGGATTCATGACTAGCGAGTTTGGTGCTGTAGTTGTTTGAAGTGTTGTAGAACCTATTGTTGAAATCATATCTTTACATACAAGATAAAAAATAAAAATAAAACTAACTTTATTTTTTCTATCTTAAGGAAATTCATGAAAATTCACGAGAAAGCAAAAGCAATCTGAGCCGCTAAGTGGTGAGGATGAGAAAACAGGTGAGAAAGGAGGTGAGAAAACAGGTGAAAAATTAGGTGAAATCTCACCTCTTCACCTAAAATATATTTTTGTCTGATTTACATCCAACGAAAAAGTTTAGAAGAATTTTCTTATTCTTTCTGGCATATTTTTGTCTTTCCAGTACTCCCGCTCTAATGGTCCCAGATGTGTTGGCTTCGACTCTCTCAAGTTCTTAGATGGTATAACATCTTCAACGCCTCCTTCATATCTTACTTTATAAGTGTCATCGTTTATGTTATAGCCAAGTATTTCAATAACCACTCCTCGCTTTGCTTCGTCAATGGTTTGTCGTCAAGAACTACACGAACTTTTGTTCCAGGAATGAGGGTAAATTGTGTTGAATTTCTGATATTTTGTTTTTGGCTTCGTTTCTTTTGTATATACTTTTCTTCTTGTTGTTGTGTCATTGAATTTGGTGTATGTCCTGTTGTAGAATGTGTTGAAGAATTATATACTTCGAGAAAATATTTCATTGTTTCTTCGGTAAAGTCTCGCTCTTGGTTTAAATCTCTGAGCGTTCTTATGAAGCGGTTTATGATGCTGAGTATGTTATGGTTATGGTCTTCAGTAGTGTAGTGAGTTATGTTATGCTTAATGAGAAAATCTGTGATTTCATTGCTGAGGTATGCTGAATCCTGGTCTGATGTTAAAGTACTTGGGTTATGTTCTGCTACAAACTTTTGTAAAACTCTTAACACTTCACGAGTTCCTTTATTTTTCATTGGATATGTATATGCTTTGCGAGTGTTAACATTAATGAAGATGAGGAATGGTTTATGTCCTCCTTTTCTGCTTTGAATGAGAGTGTCAAATTGGTATGCGTCAGGACTGTTGTCAAAATGTCATGTTGTCTCATTTTTTCAGAGAAGTTAATTAACCTGGTAGCACATGGTAACATGGTAGCACCTTCAGTTCTTCAAAAATAATTAATTATTGAATAACCTAAAACATGAGACTTTGTCTCCGGACTCTTTGAGTCACTTAACGTAAACATTATTTTTGGGTCATTTACACTCATTACGATGAAATCATCATGACAAAACATTTACGATGAAATCATAACAAAGCATTTACGATGAAACCTTGACAAAACATTTACGATGAAATCATGACAAAACATGTTAGAAAAGGTGTTAGATCTAACCATCTACCCTAAACATTATTTTTGCTGAATTCAGCAACAAAATGAACGAGGTCAGGATGTATGTAAATACCTTTGAATTCATTTTATAACGCCATTAGTAAGCTCATAAAATGCTTGTTTTGAGGTGGAGCCAAAAGTGGCTCGACCGTATTCTTTCAACCAAAACTCAAGAATTTCCTGCATGAATTTTGTTAAAAAAAACAACCGTCTGAATTCCGGTGGTTGCTATATTCTTCACAAAATGCCTTATAATACTCTTCCCCGGACTTATTTTCCAACAACTTTCTAAAGTCTTTCCTAAACTGACTGACTGACGGCACAAAGTGGCTTAACGAAAACATTAATATATAAATTCATGAAAATTCATGAGGGTAGAAATGAGGGTAGATATCAGGTTAGATCTAACATGCTAACGTAAACATTATTTTTGGGTCATTTACACTCATTACGATGAAGAAGTCTTGACAAAACATATACGAAGAAGTCTTGACATAGAGTTTACGTTCATGTTTGACATAGAGTTTACGCTCATTACGATGAAGTCATGACAAAACATATACGTTCATGTTTGACATAGAGTTTACGATGAAATCATGACAACACATTTACGATAAAATGCCTTCCTCCTGTGTTGTTGTCAAAATGTCATGTTGTCTCATTTTTTCAGAGAAGTTAATTGACCTGGTAGCACATGGTAACATGGTAGCACCTTCAGTTCTTCAAAAATAATTCATAAATGCCTTCCTCCTGTGTTGTTGTCTAAATGTCATGTTGTCACACTTTTTTAATGAAGTTAATTAACCTGGTGACACATGGTGACGTGGTGACACCTTCAGTTCTTCAAAAATAATTAATTATTGAATAACCTAAAACCATTAACGATAAAATAACTGATAACAAATTTTTATTTTTATCATAAATGGATACCCCACAAGCTCAAAATTTACCACGAATCATAACAAGGGAGGAAACGATAAAAATGATGCGAGAACTTGCTAAAAATAACAAACCACTAAAACTGAGAAAATGTGGTTATGCAGTAATGATGGAAAGAGAGACGTTGTCAAAGAGGAATAAAAATTAAATTTGGATAGAGTTTAAAAATTCATCTTTATTAAATTCATCTCTTCCAATCAATTTATTTATTCTATTAAATTCTTTTATTTTTGCTTCACTCAGTTTAATGATTGAACGATAAGTTTCTAATTTTTCAATTATTTCCTTCTTCTCTTTATCGTTTTCAGTTCCATTAGTTTTATGGGCATCAACTCCACCGCATTGTGGCTTCTTTTTGTAATAGCATATTTTTGATTTAATTCTGTTTAGTTTCTTTTTATATTCATCGTCTGGACTCTGAATCTTAATTGAATCAGGACTCTTGACTGCTTCGTTGTCACCCATTTCTTACGAAATAAAAAAATTAAATATTATTTAAATATAATGGAGTAATAAAATAAATTGGAATTTCTATTAATTTATTGTCAACTTCAACTAATGCATTGCCGTTAATATATCTAACAAATTCAGCTATTGTGTCAAATCTTCGTCTTCTTTTTGTCATTGATTTATCAGTTTTTCCATAATCGAGATGAATCAAAACTTTATCCCCTTGTTTAAAAATTCATGAGCCCCGAATTAATTTGTTCACGTTTAACATCATTCAACCTTCCATTTGCTTTCTAATATATTCCCATTCTTTTGAAATATCATTTTTCATTTCCATGGTTTCATGTTTATTGTTCTATGCCATGTATTATTGTAATAATATACTAACTGCTGTATGATGGAGTCATGATTTCCATCCCAGTATATCTGACCGTTAACCCCTAACGCATCTCTAAGAGTTCTCATTACCGCATCAACTATTTTATTATGAAACGTATATGGAGAGGATGAAAAGAAAAATTAATTTGTGGGAAATAATGAGTCATAGTTGCCTGAAATCCTTTATCACCATCACCCCTGATATTATCTACTCTTTCATGATCTAGTAAGTATTGTATAGCTCTTCTTGTTTCCTGTTCTGTTTTCCTTTCACCGGAATGCAATATAAATATCTAGTGTTAATGTTAATGGGCAAATAAATAAGTAACGTTTCCTCTTGAATATTCCAGATGATCGATTCGTATGAATATGGATATGGTGCAAATGAAGGGCGACTAATTTTTTCCTTTAACGGTTGAATTTTCGGGTCAATTGGTTTATTTAATATCTTGAAATCCTTTTTAAAATCTTTTTGCTTCTTTAATGTTTGAAATGGATATAATAAAGTGAATGATGAAGGATTAACTGAAGGAGGAGGCGGTACTGTCGTTGGAGGTTTTGGTGTTGCAAGTGGTTTAATTTTATCTGCTTTGATTTTGGATTTCATTCCCCCCTTCATTAATTCTGGATGTATTCTATTCATTTGTTTTTAAATATGCTGTATATAAAGGTTTGATATACTTTCCCGCTTCGAGTTTATGTTGAAGGATGAATTCCAAAAGTTGATCTTCATTTAAAAGTCGGGCTGAATATGGTTTAACTAATGAATCATAAATTAAAGCTTGTGCATCATTTATGGTCTGAAGGACCTTGGGCGTTTTGTTCCTTTGTTTTTGTTCCTTTTCTTTGGTTTTTGTGGCTCAGGATTATATAAATTATATAATTCATCAATATCTTCTTCTGTTAATACTTTATTTTTGAAATCTTTCAACTGTTTAAGTTGTGATTTAGTTTTTTCCTTTGTATATTCATTATTTTTAATTTTGTCTTTAATTTCAGAAATTATTTTATCATGATATTTCAAAACTTCATTTTTATAATATGGATAATAATAATCCATATCATCACCCGTTATATTGTTATCATATTTTTGGAGATATGATTTTAATTCATAATAACTAAGAAAATTTTGATTAAGTACTAAATCATAAATTAATTTTTTTAAATCTGTGTTATCCATTTATATAAAAATAAAATAAATGTTTAAGGGTGCCCGCCTCTTTGAATCATAGTATCAAAGCCATCATTAACGGTTCCTTTTGTCTCTTCTGTGGCATTTCATTAAAAATAAAATTTTCAAAATTGTATTAAATAAATGGCATACAACATCCATTTTCACAACATACAGCCTTAGTGTGTGCTCCTGTTAATGCAGTCTTACCAATTGTTAAGCCAGTCATTGACCCGTTTTTAAGTTGTAAATTAATATTCTGACCATCAAATATCACTTTATCATTTATTATATCCAAATATTTTTTAGGTGTTAATTGCTTATTTTGTCTTAAACTAACACCTTTCATTTTTTGTGCAATCTTTTTAAAATCACTCCCATCGATTGAACCGTTGAATGATGTATAACACTTAGGACATAAAGCAACCATGTTATCACCTTGTTTCTCAATTGCTAAACCCAATAACTTCTTCTCATGTGCTTTTTCTTCAGCTTTATTCTTTAATTTAGGTTTAAATTTCTCATCAAAACAGAAGAAATCAAATGGTGCGAATTTGAAAATGTTTTTATCATAAAATTTTTTATCGGTAACAATTGCTTGAAATCCTTGAGTGTTAGGAAGATTTGGGTCGCCAGCGATTGCCCAATAAGATGAATCAGTATCACCTTCAATGAAATGAAAACGATTAACATCCATGCATTTATACATAAAATCATAAATGAAAACCAAATACCAGTATTTAGCATTATCTAAAGTGAAGAATGCCTCTTGTAAACATGTATCACATCTATAAAATCTATCTTTAAGCATCACTTGATATGTATCTTCACCTATTTCTCTTATGTTTTTAAACTTATTTGACATACATGCAACGCGTGCCTTCTGTGCATTCATTATTTTAGTCTTTGCGTAATTTTGTGTATTCATTGCATCGTAACCATATGATCCATTAAGCGAAATTTGCAAAATAAACTTTTCCTTTATTTCCTTCTAATTCAGCCTTTTGTCTTTCGTTCATAAATTTGTTCGCAAATTCATTAAAGCAAGTGTTTTTCGTAAATGTTAAAATTGATTGAATGTCATCAATGATAAAATGAAATCTGTCGATTAGATACCAAAGATAATAAGAAGAAAATGGTTGATATTGGTTGTGTGTTGATGCTAACTGAGTTAATTTCCTCTGTTTCTGGTCAACTGGTAGATTGTTTGATTTCATGTAATTATACATAAAACTGCCAATTGTTTTTTCATCTGTGATAATATCTAAGTTTCTTATTATTGGTAAAAAGTTTATGTAATCATTAATGTATTTTTCATCAATGTGACCCTTTACTTCAGCCACGAATAAAGTATTTTTCTTCTTAATTATTCCCAGTGCTTTTGCTTTCTTTGTTGCTGTATCACAAATGATAACACCATTCAATCTTCCCGGCATATACATTTTATGGTCAGTATATTGAATGAAATCATGAGGATTAGATGAAAATGATGAAGGATATAATGAATTAAAGTCAACTCCAACGAAATGAGTCATAATGTTGGTGGTGTCCTCATTTGATACAGTTTTTAGTTTTGGATTATATGAAAGTTTATTAATGTGCGTGATTCCTTTAAGATTTACTCTATGTTGAACATTTGATAG